GCGAAACACCCATATATCATTTGCCAGGTACTCGCTCTGGTCAGAAAGAGCGACCGATTGTGTGGGATCGTCGGGTTGTTCGCTGCATGGATGTCACCGGAAGAGTCCTCTGCCTCTCGCAGCCACACGTCGCGGCACAGCATCCTGTACCTGATTGCGATTAATTATCTCGGGCACTTTTCGTGGCGGTCCAACCTGTTGAGCGTCCGGTACCACCGTACAACGCAGCACCAGCTGCCTTTCCTGCGACCATATGCGCCGGCTCGTTTTCGGTCCATCGTCATTCAGCATTTTGATCGATAGTCATGGTTGCACTGGTTCCGCTGCTCCTCACAGCTGTCGGCGTCGTCGGGACACAAGAGAATACCCTCAAGGGCTTCTTCCAAGGTGTCATTAGTGACATCAAACACGCGGTCACCGACGTGCGCTACACCTTCGAAAGCCTCGTCAATGCCGAGCCCGTCACGGGCTTTTGCTCACCGGACGCCCTCCGCGCCTTTGATGACGCACTCAGCTCCGGCGCTCTCTCGCGTCACGCAGCGTATCCTGCCGGCCTCCTTGATCTGTCGGGGCCGACGCTCTCGACATTGGATGGCCAAGCGTTCGCCATTCGGCAAGAGTCATTGCTGAACGCGCTCTCGGGTCCGTCGCTGGCAGCGTACCAACCGCGCATCCAGCAACTCATCCAAGACGACCACGCGACGTGGGCCGCTCGCGGCGGTACGTTCTCGCTCGCGCTCCAGGCCAAGACGACAACGTTCAAGGTCTTCTTGGCCGTCGTCTACGGCGTCACGCAACCCGATGAGTACGTGGGGTACCGTGCACAGCTCGACGAGTACCTCGAATACGCGAAAAAGACGCTATCGCGCGCGCCGTCGGACGCTATCAAGATCCGCGACCGCTTGCTCGCAACGCTCGTGCGGCCTGCCATTGCCGCCAGCCATGCGCGCGTCCGTGCCGGTGCCGCACCCACGTGCGTCCTCGACGCGCTCGTGGCCCAAAACACGATGTCGGACAGCGACCTGGCGACGGAAGGCTTTCAGCTGATGGCGATGGGCCTCCTGGGGCTCGAAGGCCTCGTCGTGCACACGATCACGGCCATGGTCAGCGTCGATGGCGTCCGCGGCCAACTCGGGTCAGCGCGCGACGCGTACGTGTCCAAATACCCGAACGGAGCGCACTGGCGGCACCTCGACGACCTCAGCGTCGTGAATGCGTATGTGAACGAAGTGCAGCGCGTCTACAACGCGAGCCCGCGCCACACGTTTGCCCGTGCGACCAAGGACTTTGTCGTGACGAACAGCAGCAGCGTGCCCAAGCACAGTCTCACTGCCGCACTTCTCGACTGCTTGAACTACAACGCGGCGCGATGGCCGTCGCCGGCGCAGTTTCAGGTCGCGCGTTTTGCGGGCGCCAATCCATCGGCGTACGAGTTTGCGCCATTTGCACTCAACGATCTTGTGGACCGGCGGGCGGGGCGACGCGAAGGTCTCTCGCGCCTCATTTTGCAGACGCACGTGGTGTCGCTCCTTGACTTTGCTGCGGTCATGGCGCCGCTGCAGTCATATGCGCTCGACGACGGACTGAACCCGCTGCCGGTGGACTTGCTCACGACCGTGGGCTTTCATTACGCACCCGGAGTCGCGCACAGCAGCAACGCGTATGACGACGCATGGCGTCGGCTGCGACAGCCAAGCGCCAAGCTCTACAACAGCTCGATCGAGAGCCCCTTATCGTCCGATAAGCGCCTTGACTTCCTAACGCACTCGATGATCCAGCTGCTGAACGTACGCTTCGCGACGTGGGTGACGCCAACGGCCGCGGCGTCCATCACGGTGCCAAAGTCGCAAAAACCGCTCGCCAAGCAAACGCTGCACGGCACGTCGATCCAGATCCCAGTTGACGACGAAGACGTATCGATTCCCAAGGTCCTTCTTGATGGCGCAAAGCTTCTTCAAGACACGGCGCCGTTCGTCGACAACTTTGACGACTCATGGGTGCCAGGCGAGGACATGGAAGGCTACGTCCTAAGCAAGGTTGGGCGCATGTGGCCGCGCGTTCGAGTGCACTGGGACGACCGGTACTCGGACCGCGCGCTCGAGCTCTTCGTCTTCAACGGCCTCGGCCAGCACATGGTAACAAAGCTATCCGCCGCGCACAGCGACGGGTCGTACTACACCGCCACGACGAGCTTTCTCGAGACGCTCGACGTCCGGCCCGGGTACGCGGTCACTGGCGCCGACGCCTATTTTGACAAGAATGGTAAAGTCACCAAGATCGTCCGTCTTGGCAAGACGTTCCGGCCGGCCGATGCGCAGTGGGAGTACGTCAAAATGTGCTTTCGCTCGAGCGTTGCCAACAAGGTCACGGCGGTCGATCACCTCATTGGCCTCCACGTGACGGTCGGCAACTACATGACGACGGCGTCCCGCGAACAACTGCCTCCGACGCACCCGCTCCGCCGCCTGATCAAGCCCTTCACGTTCCGTGCCGTTGCCATCAACTACGAAGCGTCCAAGCTCCTCTTTGCGCCAAAGGGTATTTTGCACCGTGCACACCCATACTCGGAGAAGGGCTTGAAGGACACGTGGGCGATGGCGCTGCAAAGTCTCAAGCTCGAGCCCTTCCCAGTGCACATGGCGCGTCAGAACATCGATACGCTCAAGCTTCCGTTCCACGAAGACGGCATGGACTTTTGGACGATCGTGCGCGGCTTTACGGGCGAGTACCTCAACTTGTACTACGAAAGCGACGAGGACGTGACGCGTGACGCGTCCACCCAGGCGTTCTGGGCGTTCTTGGACAAGCAACTACCGACACCGCTTGGTGCGCTGAGCTTGGAGAGCCTCAAGGACGTCGTTGCGCACGGCATCTTCCTGGTCACGGCCATGCACAACCACCTCGGTGGCATCGCCGAGTACGTCTCGGACCCGGCTTTCTGCCCAGTATCGTGGGTCGAGGGTGAGCTCGCGGGACGACCCGGCGCTGCTGTGCGGACTGCCCTCATTATGTCAGGCACGGGGTACCCGCAGCCCAGCATTTTGGAAGACTTCTCCCACGTGCTTCTGGACGACGCAGCCAAGGCCGTTGCTCACCGCTTCACAACGTCGCTGCAGTCATTTGTGATGGTTGTTGAGGCGCGCAATGCCCAGCGCGTGCTTCCGTACCAAGGCTTCAACCCCGCAGTCATGGACATGGCCATCGGTATTTAGATGGTCTCCAATATGCGAGAATAGAAACAGCTTTTCTTTCGAGTCCCGTTTTCTTCGTCGCGCCAATCAAAGCTACTGCAAAGTAGTATTAGTCGAAAACAGAGCTGTCAAATGCCACTCTCTCAACGACGCTACCATTTCCTCGAGCTTGAACTGAGCTGTGGATCCAAGTGGCAGCCAATGTGCCTCTATGCTTCTTCCCGAGCACTTGTCATAGTGCAAAGATTTCAATGCGGCGGCACGAGGGGCCGTTTGAGATCTGATACTTTGTATCGGACTCGGTAAAACTAAATTGACCTTAAAGATGCCGACAGTCATCTCCATTGTGCTTGGGCTGAACGACTGGAACGGCTGGACTCGGGTGGCATTTCGCTGGTTGACGACGGGAATCTGCGCCTTGACATCAGCCGTGAACGCCCGCGCGACGTTCAGGTCATCTTCTACCTCGCATCACGCTTATCACGAAGGTCCACACAACACGCTGTCGTTGGAGCTCAAGCGTCTACAGTTCCTTCTTTGTCTCGCATTTGCCAGGACTATTACTTGACAAGTCCTAAGGTCAGACAGTCCCTCGCGTTGGAGTTCGGAACCAGGTATCGCATACGGACAGTTTCATGTTGCGATGTCACGCGTGCTACGAGTTACAATGGGGCTAATTGTAGCTTCAAGGCCTCGGTGCGCTCTGCGTGACCTAAAGCTTTCCCATCTCGACGTATCAACACCACAACCCAAGTTGTGCAGGCACGTGCCAACATCCGGATCTTAGTACTCAACTCGAAATCCAATGTCGACGGCCATAAGTTCACCAAAAACATTGTTTACGACGCCGATCTCGACGAGAGAGACGTCGGAGAGTCATGTGCACTACGGCTTCAAGACTATATGTCTACCACCTTACCATTTACGAACTCGCTTTCGCTAAAAGAGTCGTCGTAGGGTCATTGGCCTCACACACGTGCATAGGCTACAACAAACATGCCAAACAGACTCGCTGCGGTCGTGGGGTTCAGAAACGCCTCTCCGTCGCGCACTATGTGCGCGTTCTTTCTGTGCTCGTCTTTGCTGGTCAGCGGCCGAGTTGGCTTCCACGCAGTCCGGTTAGGTGCCTTCGATGATGCACACAGATCTTTTCACTTAGTAGTACAGATAATGATTTACGGCCAGATTATGATTTACTTGTAAACTCTAGATGCCGACAGCCATCTCCATCGTGCTGGGGTTGAACGACTGGAATGGCTGGACTCGGGTGGCATTTCGCTGGTTGACGACGGGAATCTGCGCCTTGACATCAGCCGTGAACGCCCGCGCGACGTTCATGGCAGCGTCGTCCAGCATCACGTGAGAAAAGTCTTCGGTGATCTGCGGCTGGTCAAACCCGGTGATGATCATGATAAGCGCTAGTCGAACAGACGTTC